TCCACCTGGACAAACACAAAGTTACAAAGTTGCAAGTGAAACTTCCCACCCGTGCAGTATGTCATAAATCACATTTCCCAATTAACTACTTGCGTGGGCTTTCTAGTGAAAATATTACCTGTCAAAATACAGCTAGCAATGACCAACAGCTAGCAAAATACAGCTAGCAATGACCACAGGGATGCTGCGATGGTCGTAAGTGAGAAAAACGGTCATAAGTCGCCATTGTAGCTTTGAATAGTCACTTAATGAATGGTTGTAAGTTGAGAACTACCTGTAATCAAATGGTCTGCCTGGCAAAATTCTAAACCATAGGAATTAACTAAGTCTAGCTTATTATGCTAATGCATTTCTCCTTCATCGTCACTTGACCTGGCTAAACATTTTGTGTGAATTTAATGCTTGCAACCAGACCTCTCTCCCTGTTTGAGTTGAGCTGACTTCAGCTTTGCTCTGGCAGAGATTACGTCCAGAATCAGCATCTGTGCTATCTTTGGTCTCTCACCTCTCAGCCATGTACGTATTTAACATTTAATTTTATATAAATATTTAAATATTAAATATTTTATTTAATTTTAATTTAATTTGATGGGCAATTCAGAATAATAAAAGGAACACTTTTTTTGTTTCTCTCAAACTAACTTGGCAGCATATAATGTATATCTGCTTTTGCAAATACAAAAAAAACAACTATTATTGTGGGATCAACCAAGAATAAAATATAATATAAGCTTTGGCCCCCATTTCTATTCAGCATCTCACACCAGACATTTTTCTCAATGCCCATTTTCTCCTCTCCCTTGTGCTCCCTCCCTTACTCTTTTCTCTCTACACCAACGACTGCATCTCAAAGGATCCCTCTGTTAAAGTTTGCAGATGATACATAGTCATTGGTCTCATTCGAGATGATGAAGAATCTGCATATAGACAGGAAATTGAACAACTGGCCCTGTGGCATGGCTGGAACAATCTTGAAGTGAACACACTCAAAACTGTAGAGATGATAGATTTTAGGAGAAGCCCACCTATTCTATCACCTCTTACAATACTAGAAAACACAGTATCAACAATAGAGGCCTTCAGGTTTCTAGGTTCTATATCGCACGACTTAAAATGGACACCCAACATCAAAAATGTCATCAAAAAAGCACAGCAAAGAATGTTCTTCCTGCGCCAACTCAGAAAGCTCAGACTGCCCAAGGAGCTGCTGATACAGTTCTACAAAGTAATTGTTGAATCTGTCATTTACACCTCTATAACTCTCTGGTTTGGCACAGCAACCAAACAGGAACACGTACAGACTTCAACGGATAGTTAGGACTGCAGAAAAAACAATTGCAACCAGCCTGCCTTCTATTGAAGACCTACATCAGTGATGGCGAACCTTTTAGAGACCGAGTGCCCAAACTGCAACCCAAAACCCACTTATGTATCGTCAGGAGCCGGGTGGGTGTGGCCCATTGGGTGGGCGTGGCCCATTGGGTGGGCATGGCTTGCAATTCCAACTTTGTGAGATCTTTTTTTTTTTTCCGCGAGAAGTTGAAATTGATTGATTGAACCTTTTTTTTTTTTTTTGCACACAGTGGCGGAGGCCTAAAGTGAAAAGGTTTTATAAAACCCAGTTGAAGGCCTAGGACTGGGGTGATGGTGCATGTGCCCACAGAGAGGGCTCTCCATGCCACCTGTGGCACACGTGCCGTAGGTTCGCCACCATGGACCTGCATACTGCACGAGCCAGAAAGAGGGCTAAGAAAATATCTACAGAACCCTTACATCCTGGACATAAACTTCTTCCAACTTCTTCCCTCAAGACGACGCTATAGGACATTGCACACCAAAACAACCAGAAACAAAGACAGTCCCCCCCCAAGCTATCACTCTGCTAAACAACTAATTCCCACAACACTGTCTTACGCCCTGGGATGTCAAACTACTTACCATGTTTCCCCAAAAATATGACCTAGCCATAAAATAAAACTTAGCTTATTTTGGGGGGTTTGGGCTAATATAAGCCCTACCCCCAAAAGTTAGCCCTACTTAAGATCCCACTTACTCTGTCCCAACGTAGGTTTTTTGGCAGGCCAGATGGCGTGCCTCCCCCTGCTTTACCTGCTGCCGGTGCCACTGCTGCAAATTCATTTTTGCAGCTTGGTTAAACTGTTCAGCTGCGGTGGGCCACAGTTCCCATCAGCTTCAGGAAGCATGGGCAATGGAAACCTTAGGCCAGGCACCTCGTTGCTGAAGCAATTTGGCTTGCCCGGGGTCAGGTTGGCCGTCGCAGGAGGTATGGCCCGTCCCCATCCTCCAGCTCTGCTGCACATGCGGGACGAGCCTCCCACAATGGCTAACTTGACCCTAGGCGAGCCGGATTGCTTACAGGGAGAGGCTGCGCATTGCAGGAGAATGACTGCAAAGGGCGCACATGGATCCCAGCTCCAGGAGGCTCCGAGCATTGCTTTTCATGCCATTCGGTTTCCCACCCCACTCCCACCAGGCTGATCTGGTGGGCAGTATTGCCTTCCGTCTTCCCCGCCACTGCATTGAGAGGCAGCGCGGCAATTGGACAGCGGCCACGCTGCGAATGGGGATAGACCATCCCCCCAAAGTGCCACCCAAAACAGCGAGAAGGATACACACAGGATACAAATGCACACACAGATGCAGCACCAAAAACAGAGACGCAAAAAGGGCATGTGTGGATCCCTGCAGCTCCTGGAGGCTCCGAGCACTGTTTTTCGCGACACTGTTTTTGGCACCATGTCTGTGTGCACGTTTGCCTGTTTTCGGTGGCACTTTGGGGGGATGGTCTATCCCCATTCGCAGCATGGCCACCGTCCAATCGTCATGCCACCTATCAGGAGAGCAGTGTCAGCTGCCCATGCAGCGGTGGGGAAGACGGAAGGCAATCCCGTCCACCAGATCAGCCTGGCTGGGGTGGGGTGGGGTGCCAAGTGGCATGAAAAGCAGTGCTCAGAGCCTCCAGGAGCTGCAGGGATCCATGCACACCTTTTGGAGTCGTCCTCCAGCAACGTGCAGCCTCTCCCTGTAAGCAATCCGGCTCGCCCAGGGTCAGCTTGACCGTTGTAGGAGGCTCATCCCGTATGTAGGCCATAGAAAAAAATAAGACACTTTCCAAAAATAAGCCCTAATGAGCCTGGGCTTATTTTGGGGAAAACATGGTAGTAGGGCTGTATTACTATTATCCTTCTCATCTTTCCTATTACGTACTTCCTTAGCTTCTTATGACTATAACTTTGTTGTTTGCGTCTCATGATTTGTGTTGATTGCTTTTATTTAGTATCATATTATGTTGATTGATTAGTATCCTATGTCTATCACTGAGTGCTGTGTCTTATGATTTATGATGATTGTATTTTACGAATATAATAGAATAGAATAGTGCTGGAAATGACCTTGGAAGTCTTCTAGTCCAGCCCCATGCTCGAGCAGGAGAACCTCTACCATTTCAGACAAGTGACTGTCTAGTCTCTTCTTAAAAATCTCTGGTGATGGAGTGCCCACGATTTCTGAAGGCAAGCTGTTCCACTGGTTAATTGTCCTCACTGTCAGGAAGTTTCTCCTTCATTCCAGGTTGCTTCTCTCTTTGGTCAGTTTCCAACCATTGTTTCTTGTCCTGCCCTCTGGTGCTTTGGAGAATAGTTCAACACGCTCTTCTTTGTGGCAGCCCCTCAAATACTGGAATACTGCTATCATGTGGTCTCTGTTTCTTCTTTTGTTTAGACTAGCCAAACCCAAGTCCTGCAGCCGTTCTTCATATGTTTTAGTCTCCAGGCCTTTGATCATTTTAGTTGCTCTTCTCTGAACTTTTTCCAAGGTCTCAACATCTTTTTTGTGATATGGTGACCGAAATTGGCTGCAGAATTCCAGGTGTGATCTTATTAGGGTTTTATAAAGTGGTACTAAAACCTCATGTGATCTTGATTCTATGCCTCTGTTTATGCCACCAAGGATTGTATTAGCTTTTTTGGCTGCTACTGCACACTGCTGGCTCATAGTCAAGTGATCATCCACTAGGACTCCAAGGTCCCTCTCATGATTATGATCATGATTTATTACTTGTCGCTTGTACTGTATGTACACTGAGAGCTTATGCACCAGAGACAAATTCCTTGTCTATCCAGTCGCACTTGGCCAATAAAGACTTCTATTCTATAAGCTATAATAACAGAAAACCTAACCATGTTTCTCCTTCATTCCCTTTTATTCCAAAGAGACTCAAGGCAAGGTGATCTTGAGAATTTGCCTCATCCTCTCCTGTTTTTCTGGACTAAGTTTGTATTTTCCTAATGGCTACTAGATATATTTTTCAAGGCTGTCCTCCACAATGGGATTCAAGACACTCCATATTCAGCAGCACAGATAAACAAACAAACAAATGAACAGGGAAGATAAAGGTACTGATAAAACAAACAAAATAATCTTGTATAAGGGTGATCCAACCAGTAATGTACTACTGTGAACACAGCCATTGAGAAAGAAGGCATAAAAGAAGATACATTTGAAGATAGTTATTACTGTGGGCTAAAAAAAACTATTAATCTATCAATCAGTTCTGGTTACTCTTGATTACTGCTTTGAGGTGATGATAAACAAATAGAAACTTACATATTAATTATGTGTGTACAAGCAGATGATGGACTAGGGAAATAAAATCCTGAGTCCTGAAATGACACCTACTACCCCCCTCCCCTTGCTATTGCAATCAACTCACAAATGCCTTTGAAACCAAAGAAGACATCCCTTTAAAAAATTCACACCTTCGGGAAATTTCTCCTAAACTTTCTCTGGATCTTAATCTCCACCACTCCTACAAAAGCCCTTCATTTATCTAAAAACTCCAATTATGTTCTCCAAATCATCAGACTCAACAGATCCATCAGCTTCCAGTTTTTATCATACTTGCTTGCAGGGCCCTGGTTGTTTTTGCCACGCTTGTCCAAATATACCCGCTGCCTTGTGAGGATTATTTAGAAAAATACCTTCATGAAGGTATCCTGGTGGATCTTCCAGCCAATTCTCCAGAGGCTTCCAAAGAGAGGCAAAGGTACGGGTCCAGGTGGGAATTTCCTCCGTGTCCAAAGAAGCATTATGAACTGCACTATCAGAAAGCATATTCCCGTAGCCATCAGGAAGTGGCTCACTTCCATCTTTAACTGATACCAAAGTCAAAATATTGTTCTTGCTTCTTTTCAGGCTTGTGCTCTTGAAATAGTTGCTTGCTTCATCTGAAGATGCCAACTGCTTATATGTGATAATTAAGCAGGTAGATTGGCATCCTCTCAATACACTAGAAACAATTACGGCATAGGAATGTGCTTTTCGTCTTGTGTGTGTGATTTATACAAGCCTAATTGCAATGGGTCCTGTGACTGTTTTCAAGGAGAGGGGATGTGGGAAATAAGGAAGCTATTAGTTCCACTTGAGTTTTTCTAACAGGTCAGTGATCATTAATTTTGGTTTGCAAGGACCCACCGGATGGAGGCATCAACTACATTCACCGTAATGTGTGACCAGATTAGAGAATTAAGCCATTTTCTCACTTTACATAATACACTAAACCAACACAAACAATCCAGTTGCTAAACCACAAAATTATCTCACCAAGGTTAATACCAACCAAGCTTGGGTTGCTGTGCAACCTGATCTGGTTAAACATGTCACACAAAAACTGCTCTAGAGGGAAGAACAAAAGTTTAAACGTAAATTGTCTGTTATACAGAAGCCAGAGATAAAGAGATACATGGTGATAGGCATCAATGGGCCTGTGGATACCTGCATTTGATACCCAAGACTGTCCTCACTGCCTTTAATTTTGTTGAGTAAAAATGAGCAAATAAAGGTGAAAGCTGAACCGCTGCAAAGCATCATTCTCCAGAAGTATCTTTATTTATAAGAATGCCCCTAGTTTCCGTACGAGAGTTTTGTATAAAAGCTATTTGTTTGTTTGTTTGTTTGTTTATGCATATATGAAATTTATCTGCCATCCATCTCATATCCAACGACTCTGGGTGGCTTACAAAGTAAGGCATCAATAGTTAAGGCATTTGGCTAGAAATCAAGAGGCTCTGAGTTCTACTTTCACCTTAGGCACAAAGTCAGTTGAGTGAACTTGAGCCAGTCCTTCTTTCTCAGCCCTAAGAAGGAAGCAAGGGCAAAGCACTTCTGAAATCCTGACAAAAAGAACCATAGGAACTAGACCAGGTATTCACCAGGAATCAATGCAAGCAGTCCTCCACTTACAACCATTTGCTTAATGACCGTTCGGAGTTGCAATGGCACTGAAAAAAGTAGCTTTAACTTAACTTACTACTTTTGCAGCATCCCCAACATGGCACATGGCAACTGGTGTGTATTTATGACTGTTGCAGTGTCCCAGGAACATTGATCACCTTTTGTGACCTTCTGACTAGAAAAGTCACTGGAGAAGCCAGATTCACTTAACAACCATGTTACTAACTTGATAAGTTAGTAACATCATCATCATCACCATCATCATCATCATCATCATCATCATAAAGTTGGAAAGGACCTTGGAGGTCATCTAAAAAATGGTGGCATGGATAACTGCACTGAGCATTCAGCTCACTGCCCAAGTCTCTTGTAAAATGCATCCTGGAACAGAGATGATGAAGAACACCCTTATTTATTTGCTTTCTCTGCTTTGTGACAGATAAGCCCCATATCATGGCAGCCATTTTCTGACTAGGCAAGTCCCTCATCATGGCAACCATTTTCTGACTAGGAGGTCACTCATCATGGCAACCATTTTCTGACTAGGCAAATCCCTCATCATGGCAGCCATTTTCTGACTAGGAAATCCCTCATCATGGCAACCATTTTCTGACTAGACAAGTTTCTCATCATGGCAGCCATTTTCTGACTAGGCAAGTCCCTCATCATGGCAGCCATTTTCTGATTTGGCAAGCCGCTGGTTGCTTAGCTTTATATCCAACATTTCCTTTAAGGGTTCAAGGAGACTTCCATGGGTATCTCCTTTTATTTTATCTCCACAAAAGCAACTCTGAGAAAGACAGTGACTATCCTAAAATAATTCAGAGAGTTTTTTATATCGAAAGGTGGCCTTGAATCTGACTCCTTGTTCACCTGTTTTAGCTCCACAAACAGAAAACCAACATCTGAGGCACAAAAAATCATAAATTAAGTGGCCTTTGAGAGTTCTATTCTCGGTTACTGGCATGTATTAACATGCAAGTTTCAATGCTATGATTAGGGTCATATTTAAATATATTTTTATAACTTCTTATGCTGGCCAGCAACACTGGTAGTCTCATTCTTCTCCAAAGCAGATCCTGCTTGGCTTCTGAGACAAGCCAAGATTAGCCAGATGTATGCTTGGCCACAGAAGCCACGGAAGCAACGGCCCATTGGATTCCCCATTAGGAGCCCTGGGTTTAATTGTCCATTTTAAGAATGGCCAATGAAAAACCACAGCAGATTAAGAGACGGGACAGCAGAAGGTTGGGAAAGGTGGAAAACCAATCAAAGCTTGGAGAATATGGTACTGAAAGAATTGTTTTATTTTATCATTTTATTTTATCTTTTTATTTTATTTATTTGTATCCTGCCTTTATTATTTTTACAAACAACCCAAGGCTGCAAACATATTCAACACATCTTCCTCCTCCAATTTTCTCCACAACCACCCTGTGAGGTGGGTTGGGCTGAGAGAGAAAAGGACTGGCCCAAAGCTGCCCAGTTGGCTTTCTACAGATAGTCTTGAACTACTTATAAGGCTCTCCTGCACAAGATAAAAGCAAGATAAAAGCAGCAATTCTTTGTTTCTTGGAAAACATGGATAAGGATCAGTAGGAGTGGAGATCTAGCCCATCTGGACCACACAACCCATCGGCTGTGGCCTGTGAGGAATGGAGCTGAAATCATATTGCTCTGTGTGTGTTCCTATATCCTCAGTGTTCAGAGTTGGGCAGGCAAAATGAACATCCATCTTGAATTTGGATCCCCACCCTGAAGCCACCTGCAACATTTTTTACTCAACTTACTACCACAATTGTCCCCAAAATTTATGTTGCTGAGCAAGACAGTTGTTAAGTGAGTTTTGCCCCATTTTACAACTTTTATTGCCACGGTTGTTAAGCAAATCACTGCAGTTGTTAAGCTGGTAACACGGTTGTTGAGTGAAGCAGGCTTCCTCATTGACTTTGCTTGTCAAAAGGTTGCCAAGCGTCCCAATTTTGATCATGTGACTGTGGGGAGATTGCAGCGGTCGTTACGTGTGAAAAATGATCCTAAGTCACTTTTTTCGGTGCTGAGGTAACTTCGGTCACTAAATGAATGGTTGTAAGTTGAGGGCTACCTGTAATCACTACTTTTACTGGTTCACTGTTCTTTCCCAAAATTGGCCCACTTTCTACTTATCCCTAACCCCAGAGTTTTTATGGATATTTAAGAGTGCCGATACAAACAGAAGATTTTCAATGAGGGTAGAAGAATTTGTTTGTTTGTTTGTTTGTGAAAATATATGTGGCTGCCCAACTCACCATCAGTGACTCGAAGCAGCTTACAAAGATAAAAACCCAATACAAAAGCAATAAAAAAGTAATAAACCCCCACCCCTCTGGCAATAACAATCAAATGTGCAATTTGATTTATTCCCACCTTGTTTAATGGAGTACCCTTCATTGAACAAATCAGCCAGCCTTTATTCCAAAGCTGTTGTGCTTACGCAAGGTCACTGGGTAGAACATTTTCCAAAGGGGCTGTCATGTTAAGCTTCTCCTGATGACTTAAGATTTTCTTAACAAGGCTAGCAAATATAATAAAAGAAACATACCCCACAAACTCTTTCAGGATGGAAGGCCTTCTGCCTGGGGCTGTCCAATTTTTCCTAAACACGACAAGCCTGCTGAGTTGAGAGGGACTGGGTCCTTGTCATTTAATAAATTTTTGTGGCAAAGGGGGTCCTGAACCTGGGTTTCCCCAGTGCCAGCCCAATACATTAACCACTATATAGCCCCCCTTTTTGTAAATGTAAAAAATGGCCTGCTTAATCAATCCATGGAATGACATCAATGTGAGTTGGTTGCAGGGGTCCAAGAAGAACAAATGTTAACAGTGAAATTTACATATATATATATAATATATATATAGGTACAGGTAGTCCTTGACTTATTTTATTTATATTTGTACTTTATGTAAATATGAATTGCTTGAAATCAGTTGCATGTCATATTTGTCAAAAATAATTGAGCCGGCTCCTAGCATAATAGCAACAATAAAAATTCCTGAGATTATAAATACCATCATATGATCATAATCCCTCAGCCCTCAATCAACAGTGAAACAATAATGCAAATTCCATAGGTATCAGACTGGATAGGATGAAAGACTTTTAATAAGGATTAATGAAGCTAAACTATTTAGCATTATGTAAGTTAATGGGCGCCTGCATAATAAAAAATAATTTCATTTCAAGCCACTGTAATGAACTAAAACAAGAGCTTAAAGAAAAATTTAACACTTTTACACAAATTTTGTCGGTACAGGTTATCCATGATTTGGGACCACAACTGAGCCCAAAATTTCTGTTGCTAAGTGAGACAATTGTTAAGTGAATTTTGCCCTATTTTACAACCTTTCTCGACACAGTTGTTAAGTGAATCACTGCAGTTGTTATCAACATGGTTGTTAAGTGAATTTGGCTTCCCCATTGACTTTGCCTGTCAAAGGATTGCAAAAGGTGATCACAGGATCCAGGACATTATAAACATCATAACTATGAGCCAGTTGCCAAGCATCTGAATTTTGATCATGTGACTATGGGGATGCTGCAGCAACTATTAGTGTGAAAAATGGTCATAAATCACTTTTTTCAGTGCCATTATAACTTTGAATGGTCACTAAATGGTCTGTTGTAAGACAAGGATTACCTGTATTTATGCGTATCCCACCTTTATTATTTTTACAAATAACTCACGGTGGGGAACACATTCAACCCATTTTCTCCTCCTAATTTCTTCCTCTGATTCCAAAATATACTGTGCAACTGATGAAATGGGTTGCAATCTCTCATGATTTATAGGTCAGTAAATTTCCCAACCAGCTCCACATTGTTTCCAAAGATAATGACTACTTCTTAATTAAAAGAATGATTATTGCCTAATAATTT